TGTACAATAAATTTGAGAAGGATATTTTGTATTTACTTTCAATTCAATCAGGATGCGAGTCAAAATAAATAATAGTTTTAACGAATCAGAAGTTTAAAACTTAGCAAATTTTGTTATATTTCATCATTTTCTTGTATGAAAATAAATTGAAAAATGGGTTTGATATTAACAAACTGAATTATTAAATTTTATTAAAGAATACTTTTTAAATTTGTTATTTATAATTGTTCTGAGGTTAGAATGTTTTATGATGCATTTAAATAGTACATATGTAATTATTAAAAAGTACATAAGAATAGTAATTATTTATTTTATTATTAATATGTTCTTACGATAAATTCTTTTAAGAGTTTGTTTTTATTATAAGTATGCTTTAACCATCAAAACTTTTTTTTAAAATTATTTTTCATAAAAATATATTATACATCGTTATTTTTACGTGTTACTCAGTACAATAGTTTTTAATACTCTTAATAAACATAAAAAAATTGCGCAGTTTTTGAATAACCTTATTAATATAAGTCTTCGTCTTATGACAGATTAATAAACTCTAGAATAAATATGAATTAATAATACATGTTTGATTTTTTTAAATGTATTTCATTTATATCAGAACTTTAAATCTGTGCATATTACATAATTTTAGCATAATTTAATATGAGAACATTTTTATTTTGTTAGCATAGTGCCTATTTATTTTACTATACAACAAACATGCATATTTGTTATTTATAAGAATAAATGATATTTATATAATGTTTGATATTTATGAAAGCGATTATTTTTTTTTTTTAATTTAGAGGTTACCAATTAATTTTCAGTCTAAAATTCTTTCCTTTTTATTTTTTAGAATAAAGAAGCAATTTCTGGGTTATTTATGCTTATTTTTATATATTTTATACTTAATTTAGCCTAATATAAAGTAATAGATATACCTATAATAACTATATACTTTTCATGAACATTTATACAATGAAATTTGAGTGAAAATGATTACTCTAGGGCCACTGAAAACAATAGCGCTTCCGAATATTTCAAGTTTATTACATTTTATTACTTAGAAGTTCATAATTAAATAGAAATTTTGCCAGGGGATAATTTAATTTACCATTTGAAACTTTGTTAAACAATGTAATATGTTATATTCACTTATTTTTTTTTATAATTATTATATTTTGTTTTATTTCATATTCACATTACTTATGTAATATATCATATTAAAAAAATGTATAATCAAAAAATATATCCTTATATATTACTGTAATTATTTATTTTAAATGTGTTTAAGGTTTTTTTTTTATAAAAGGTAAAAAAAACAAAAAGGATGTGAAAAATGAATATTGTTAATGTTTTTTGGTAATAATTTCAATGTACGAAAAGGTGTACAAATAAATTAAATTACAATAAATTAAAAAAAATTTTTTTTTTATAATTGCTGTCTATTAAAACTTAAAATATTAACAACTTATTGTTATCTTAACATAGTAAAATTATGATTCATCATTTAATAAATTTTTTTAGAAGCTAATGTAGGAAAGTCTGTGCAGTGGCATCATATCTTAGTTACCCTGAAAGAATAACTCTCTTTCAATTCGGAGTAATATAAATATCATAGTTTCTCAATAGTAGTTATTTGATAAATATAAAAAAATCGTACTGACCACGTTTATTCGTTATAAGTCCCGATGATATTACCTAAGCTGTTCAAATACTTTACAATAAAATCATTTATGAAAATTTTGATACGTCAGATATTGTTACAGACAAAGTTTTCCTTTTCATAATTTAATATATTTTCTCACAAATTAACTATGATCAAATAATATATTTTTTTGTATTATAGTCACGACTATAATTTAAAAATGCTTTAAAAATATACAAAAAGATGATAAGTGGTTTTATATCAATGATATTTTAGAATGTAAGCTTTTGAGTTGAAATAACAATAAATTATTTTTATTTAAGATTGTATTGAATTGAATGAAATTACAAAAGAAAAAACAAAAAAAAGAAAATTAAATAATACTTCTTTTCATTATTCATATTCGAAGGATGTTATCGATAGAATTTATAATAACAAATAAAATAATATTAATATTTAAATCACGAAGTACTTGTATCTATAACAAAATTCAGTTTATTATATTTTATTGAGTTTTAGATCACTTACTTATAAAACATGCCTGCAAAACCGATTTTAAGTAGAAATCAATCATTCCTACAAATATTAAAATTTTACAAAGAAGCTTTAAAAAATCAATAATAATAACTTCATTACGCATTAAAAATTAATTATTCAAAACAATTTTCTCTTTAACGACATATCAGTTAAAAGTAAAAATATTCTCAGCTTTATGGTATTTCTTATTAGCTATTAAACTTGACTTAATTCGAGACGTTTATCGACTCATAATTTTACGTATACATAATATGTATAATAAATGTACCAAACATTAATATAAACAGTTAAAATTAGTAGAATAAATACAAATTTAACAAATACGTAATGAGTTTTTACGAAATATATACTAGAAAAATGTTTCAAAGAACACAGAATATATAAATATCGATTATTTTGTTTGCAGTGAAATATTTGAATTAAAGACTCGTAAAAATACGTCTTACCCTGAGCTGAAAAGACACGTATATAATCTGTAGTATTTTTAAACCCATTTTTTAATCTTTTAATTGCTCATCAGTTTTTAATAGGCAAAAGTAAAGGGAAAGTCTCTGCGCTTTACGCATTCTATGAATACCTATGTCATATATCTATTTATTTTTAATAAAATGACTTGTGTTTGAGAAACACTAACATTAATACAAAAAACGAATTAACATAATGTACAGAATGACTATTTTAATATTAGCCATTCGAATTTTCTTAAAATGATAGTTATGTGAAGAAAATTATTGTAGTATTTTTTAGTTTCATATATTTCTTTATTTATTAATAATTAGTTTATCATTCATTCCTTCTATAAGGATGTAATTTTTTTTTAAATAGTAAAATACATATGAAAATACTCTATTAAATAAAAAATCATCTAGTTAATAAAATAAGTAACCAATTTACCAAATGAAAACTTTTTGAAAATAATTTTCTTATAAATAGGAGTTAATTTTTCTATTCTATATTTATAAGTTATATATTATAGTAATTAACTTATCATTAGTTATTCAATTTATCTAAAATAAATTTTATTAAGAAAATTATTTTTGATATTTATTTAATTCATCCCTAAAACCTTGTAAGTGTCAATTTTTTTTTTTTTAATGGCAACATTATAAAAATAATATAGCCCTCAACTCATCTCTAATCTATAATTTAAAATAGTTATAACTTCCGAAAAACTTGTCCTAAAATTTTTATCGACCAATAATTTCCGTAATCAGATTATATTTTATTTTATAAACTTAAATATTTCATAATTAATAAATCAAGATATATATGAAATCATTTTATTATGTTATATAATAGGGTTCGTCAACGATGCA